AACCCCGAATGAACTAATTGGAGGGGGATTAGAGATGCTGGACAATGCCCGGGGACTGACAACCAAACCAGACGGCCATCGCTGGACTGGCAATGACGTGACACGCTGCAAGTCAAGGGGCTGTGTTGGTTCCGAGAGCGTTGGGCTGTTTTGACGGACTGCAATACTAGCACCTAAGTCGCGTGAACAAGGAGAAGCATGTGCCCCATGCGGGACATCGGGTATGGAGTCAGATTTCATTCCTTGTCTGTGAGATCAAATTGATCGTAACCGCGCTCGCGATTCGGTCTGCGTGTCAAACGGGTGGAAATCAGTTCTGCAGGGCAAAGCAGCCTATTCTGTCGCACGTTAGCCTAGCCCGGTATTAGAAATTGTAGGTGTCAATTGATATTACCCGACTTGAGTTCTATAGTCATGATAACGAGCATTGCAGATTCGTGAAACAGCACAGCCACGCTAGGAAGCCGAGCTCCCGACTATGTGGGCTTGCGGTCCTTGTCTGGGGTCATACAGCGCATGGCTAAATGTACTTTGTACGTGAAGAAAGCTTTGTATGTTTGTGCCGATTTATTGTCTTGCCTTCATGCCGTGGCCGGCTCACTGATTCTTTGGTTGAAGTGACTCCAGTCCAGAGTCGACAAGTCGACCGAAATACTGGGGCAGTGCCACCTCCCCATGTGTGGATTTGGCGTTGTGGACGGCAACTGCAAACCAGGCCGCATCCTTTCCCGACGAGGCGCAGCACAAGGCAGGCACCGCAAGGCATCGCGCAACAGGCTGACTGGGGGGGTCACACTCCGTTGCTCTTTCCCCTTTTGACGCCTATGCCTAACATTGGCCAACCCAGAGGCCATATCCAATAAAATGCCACTGTCCTTCGTCCTGTCATTGGCTTCTTTCTTTCGTTTGGGGGCTGCCCCGCTCCTCCCGGCCGCCAGCTAGCCATCAGCCGCCATTGACTGTGCCTCACTGCACCACCCGACCTGACCTTCAACCCTCAACCGTCTTCACCACCTTGCATCATCTCATCGTTTCTGCCATTGTCAAACTGGTGCGGCCCGCGTCCGTGATGACGGCTAGCTATCCACGAACCCCGCCGTGGTGGAGGCCGCTGGTGGATAGACCAGACTTTAACTTGGATTTTCCGTCTGGAGAGAGCTAATCATGCCGCGAGCTTCTCCAGATGCTTCGCGCATTCTAGAGCCAGGTAGGTGTATCTCAGGGCTGACAATCTGCGGCCCAGAATGAGGCTTCAGATGGTTTTGTATAAAAGGACAGCCACAGCGCAATGCCTTCTCTTTGTCCAACCGCCTCGACTATCTCTTCTGCTTGGCATGGGACCTTGGACGAGGGTTTATACCTCGTTCGAAACCGGTCCATAACCGACTTCCCAACTACCCAGTCTCAACTGGCCTCATCCTGAACACACCATCATGACCAACTTGAGGCCGTCACCGCCCAAGCTGGCGATACCAGCCTCACATGGCTCGCCGTCTGCAGTGAGTGCTACAACACAGACAGGACGTCCCTCTATGTGGAGCAAATCTGCCCAGAGGAAGATGACGCGCCTTTATGTCTATACCACTCTACCATTGACCAAAATTGTCGCTTTGGTTCATTCTCATACGCCTGAGACGGCGCCTGGGTGAGCTCATACTCATTTCAAATATCTTCTTATCCGAGATGTCGTACTGATGTACAGCATAGTCATGAGTCGGCCCACAAGAAACTCAACATCCTCCTTGACAAAGAGCCACGATGGTTACACCCAAAGACTGATGAAGATATGGACCGCCGCGTGACTGAACTGGCCAACTCTCCCACCAGACTCAAGTCCGCTGAGTATGCTGCCCTTGGTCATTCGCGATCCACCTCCAACAATTCGGCCATGTCCCCCAGCCCTCAGAGACTCAAGACGGAAGACAGTGTGAGCCCAGCGCCCTTTGACGTCTCGCCTCTGCATCGACCGGCCGTGACCCTTACCTCGAATCAGCCAGCACCTGGAGCCTTAAACCTTTGGGTATCCCATGGTGCTCAGCCCTCCACGGCAATGTCACCAGCCGAGCCCCCCCAACAAACTGAAGATGCAGCTGATCAACCGCATTTCGCAAAGTTCCTCCGTCAGACGACATGCCTCTCCAACGCGACCAGCAACACTACTGATTCATTCCACCGCCTTCTCTCCGGTTTCTCAGAACCCTACGTGCAGACTGTGAAGAGGCTCGTGAAACGGTTTACGGCTCCAATGGGTAGTCGGCCGGGCTTGTCACCTTACTCAGAAGGCAGTTCTGCCATTGAGACCTGGGCCGATGAGGAGGATTGCCCTCCGGAGTTCGATGGCCGGCCCTTTCCTATACCAAGCGATTTCCTAAATCTAGATGAGTACCACAGCGCAAGGCTGTGCTACTCTACTCGTGACGTTCATGACAGACGCCGCTGTCTTTGTTTCATGCCTCTGGATACTTGTGTGCTTCCTTGGGTGACTCGTCAAGGGCTCACACCTTTAGGGCAGCGACTACTGTCCAACGGACCCAGAGAGCAGGATTTTGGCCCCAGCGATTCTTTTGGTAACACCGTCTTGCACTTTCTGGCCGCCAGGGGTTCCTACGAGTTGGTTGAGCGTTCCTTGAGAAGTGAATTTTGCAAGTCACTGGTTGCAGCGAAGAACTCTGCTGGTCAAACGTTCCTTCACGTTCTCAATGCTCCGATTCTTAGAAATCCGGACCATGTCGAACATCTGTTGGAGATCGTCACAGCAAGAGGCCATGACATTCATATGAGGGATCATTACGGTCGTAGCTTCTTCCATTTACTTCAAACTGGGGGCCACCTAAAAGAGCTTATCCAGCGTGTCTCATGGCGTTGCGACAGTAACTTCCACATGGCAAGAGACGCGTTCGGCTTCTCTCCTGCCAGAAACGACTCAACTATGATGGACCTTGACGAACCAAATGTCGTCGAACTTCTAGACTCCTTTGGTCCCGTAGCCTTTACCGACGCAGGGCTTGCAAAAGAAAGCAAACTCCTGGAAAATGTCCGCAAGGCAATGCTGAATCCTTATCTGCAGGACGAAGAGGGCCGCAATGGTTTGCATTGCCTTGCCATGGCTACTTTGAGTGAGGCTTCTATCGTCAATAAGTATCATCTACAATCTTCCCAAAGGGACAAGATGACCAAAAAGGGAGCCAAGCCTGAAAAGGAACTCGATTCTAGTTCATCCAAGCTCGAGCTTCGCCTAGGGCTTCTCTCGGGGTTGTTGGACTCTGGCGTAGACCCTAACCAGCACGACAACAACGGCAACACGCCACTGATGACGTTTGTTGCTGAGCTCCCCGAGGATGACGACTACAAGATTCCGCCTAAAATCTTGCAGCTGTTAATCGCGAAGGGGGCGAACATCCATGCCAGAAACAGACGTGGGGAAACAGCTTTACACATTGCCGTGAGATGCGGAAGGAAGCTGGCGATGAGGGCGTTGTTTGAGAAGGGAGCCAATGTCCATGCCAGAGACTCGGCAGGGAGAAGCCTGCTGGATGTTGCGGATGTTAAAATGCTGCATTGTGACAGCAACGAGCACATGCGCGAGTATGCCCACTATGAGGCCTGCAGGGCTTGGTTGAGTGGAAAAGGTTTGGCGTTGCAGGGGCCAGGTGTCATTGATGAATGGGGTGGGGGGTTTCGCGCATAGAAAGTCTCGTGTTATGACTGGGGCGAGTTTTTGACGATTCGGAGCAGAATCTGGTGATTTCTCTGAACTTTTTATGAACCTTGGGAGTTTGGAGTTTGGCCACAGACGGCGTGACCAGGATAGGATACCCAGTGATTGACTATGTAGAGGGGCACAAGGAGTTGGATGAAGAGCTTAAATACAGGTTTGCCTGGCAATTGGTCCGTATCTTGCAAGAATTGTGACATGATGGGACGAAAGTTGACGAAAATACTCTTTTTTTTTAACTCGACGGTTTACCATCAGTTTGGGCTTTGCATTCTTATGCTCTTGCACAGAAAAATCAGGGTCATTTGGGAAACAGGGGGCCCGTCGAGTGAGCGCCTTGGTTGATTCCCTGGACGAGGATGTTTAGAAGACAAGGCGGATGCCGTGGACCACGGCGTGCTGTGACGGAGTATACCGCGGTTCTAGATCTTGGCAATGGCCGTCAATCCAGTCCCTCGACAATTGATTCTCCATGTCGTGTTCTTGAGACACTGATGGCTGTTCATGGACAGCAATTTGTCGTCGACCAAGATGACGGGCTTCATCTACGGTAATGGGGGTATACCATCCCCTCGAGCTGTATGGGCCGGCGTCTGATGAAGAATGGGACGCGCTGATCCAAAAACCATTGCGTCAAGCGCATCGTGAAGTCCTATTGCACCAGAATATGCAACGCGATCCATCAGACGGGGTGACAAAATTCGTACTGCCCTTGCTCCATTTAGTCCCAGGCCAGGTTTACATGCAAGGCTGAGAATACCTGGCGACTTGGGAAGGGCCGTGCCGAGAGTTGTTTGCTACGGGCGTAATCTCGTCCACAGCGCGGCCTCATAACCGGCTCCGGCGGTGTGCCAAGCCGGAATGGGGCCGTCTTTTTAATAACGGAGAAATACCGGAAAGGCGCATTCACATGTGGCCTGCCGCTTGAGCCGTGGCCCTACATTTCGGCCGAACGGTTGCGAAGAGAAACAAATGTAGTCACTCTTGTCAGCGTGGCAATAAACCTCTCCATTTGCCTTCTTTGCAAAGGAGCATTCCGACCTATTAGAGCGGCTTGAGAAATGATGAAGATCTGATGTCGTCGCATGAAGATTTGGAGGGGCCTTACGACGTGGGAATGTAGGCGTATTGACTTTTTGGCCATGTTGGAGACGGTGCGGATGGCTGCACCACGCAGAAAAGCCCTCGTTTCAGCTACCCCAGATTCAACTAGACTCTTTTCAATAGTATTATTACAAATAACTTGATACTTCTTCCAATTCAATATTTAGTATTTCCCTGGTTCTTAGTAGTATCCCTCAAACGCATCGACCCGATCCGCTCCCACCCGTGCAACAGCTGGAGCGACGGGTGAATCCCCGCCGGTAACATCAAACGCCAAGCCGATAGTGTCACGGTTCGTCAAGCAGGCAGCCACAACCCGCGCAACGTCCTCCCGACTCACCGAATTCCCTAGGTGAGCCTTGCCGACGCTGACTAAGCCCACGCCAGCACCGTCGGTGAGCCTGCCGGGCCGAACAATGGTGTAGTCGAGCTTGCGCCCAATGTTCCCAACTCTCAGCTCTCGATCTGCGGCAAGTTTTGCCCTCATCCATGGCTCTATGGCACCCCAAAGGCGTGCACTGGCTTTCACGTCACCCTCGTTGTACCAATCCGGGACCGGCCTCTTGTCACAGTCTCGCACGTCCATCGAAGACACGACAATAAATCGCTTCACGCCTGCTTCCGCGCACGCGTCCATACACTTGATGGCTCCGTCTCGGTCGACAGATGACGCGCGGTCGCGTTCTGCAAACGGCGCGCTGGCAAGGAACACGACGGAATCGGGCTTGATCTTGCCCAGGGTGTGGGCAATGTCGGATACTGAGGCTGCTTCAATCGACTGAACGACTGGGGTGGCGCCGAGGGCTTCGATGTCGGGTATCTGAGAAGTTGTCCGGATCATGCTGTGAACATGGTGGATTGGCTGCATCTCGGCCACGAGGATGCGCGTTAGGTGGCGGGCAACCTTGCCATTTCCGCCAATGATGACCGTAGTTGGCATGGTTGCGGCAGAGGCGTGTCCGAGATGGATTTTTATATGAGCGAAATGCCAAAGGGCTGGGAGAATCTTGGACCCCAACGCTATTTATGCACCACGCCCCTGTGCAACTAGCTGCCGTCAGCGACCAAGTGGACAGGCCACATGCACGTAGGTTCAAATGTCTGGTTGATTCATTGCTACCCGGCAGCCCACTTGGTTTGCCAACAGGTAGTTGGTGTTGCAGAGGAACTTCATATCAAGCCACCTCCATGTCCACTTTTGTTGCGACGTTGACTCCATTCTCGAGAAAGCTGTCCGATACGTCAGAGATAATCCAAATGCCAAGCAGAGGGCCCCTCCCAGGATTCCACCGGCTGCAATTGGATCCAAATCCTCGCTAGATGCAGCAATAAAGTGGAATGATCCAAGGGCGTGGTCCTCTGCCTCGCCCGAGGACGAGCCGAGGCGACCAGCCTCGACGGACGAGGCGTGTCGGGATATCCAAGAAAAATCCATCACTGATGTTTTGTCGCAGCGAGGCATCTGGAACTTTCCAAATGAGCAGCATCCTTCAGCGTCCTCAGTGGAGCACTGATCCAGGCCAAGAATTTAGCTCGCTGTAATTCGGTCTGATCCATGGTGCTAGTCATACCCATCGGAAACGTCGATACCGCTAGGGCTTCTTATAGGGGTCTGAATAGCTTCCACAGCCTTCTTCCGGTATATAGCTCCGTAGTAAGCTTCATAGCCGTTGAACCCGGGCCACTTCCACGGCCGAGATTAATCCTTTGTGTCCTGAGATAGGACCCATGTGCTCCCCAGGCCAGACAAAATCCAAAATCTCCTGGCCAACATCCACACTCTGGGCTAGGTCTTCACTATCCGCGTCCACCTTGGCGAGTTTGGTCCAAAACCAGACGTTGCCGCTAGTCATCTTCTCGTCGGCATCGTTTTGGCAGTAACCGTGTCCGTTGAGGCAACAATGTGGGCAAGGGATCGTAGTCACGCGGGCCTTGATTGGGCCGTCAGTGATGCGCTTCTCGAGCTGGGCAAGAGTATCGCCACAGTCCCCCGCGCCCTAGAACTAGTAGATGCAGGCATTTAATATGCTGTTGGCCAGCAGTTGGCAGCAGGAGAGAGGCATGGATACTATGATGATACTTAGTTGGGCGAGCAGCATCGTTGCCTCTAATCGTCAAGGTAGCAATCTTGGGCTTTTCCAAGTTCTTGATTACGGCCCGTTTGGATCTCATCCTTGAAGTTCCCCTGCTTCAGTTGCTCTTTCACGAGCTCCGTTGTGGTATCGCCCGTATTGAGGAAGAAGATGGGTGTCCCCATTGACAAACCCCCAATTGTCATGATCCATAGACAGCTGCATTGGATAGGACTTCTTCCCACGGAAGGCGCCGCCAGCAAAGTCATGGCCCTTGCCGTTGCTCCAGTGCCAGCGGCGTACGAACCACCGACGGCAATCCACACGCTGACCCTCTGCGTCGGCTTCTTACAGGGGACAAAGAAGGAGCTTACAACTCTTTGTAGACGGCGTCAGCGGCCGCTTCGAGATCGGCAAGCTCATCCGCCATGGCTACCGGGACAGAGAGCATCGGCGCCGCGATATAGTGAAAAGGGAGTTTCATGGCAAGTAGAGGTGAATGATAGTGAGTACTGACAACCGCAGACGGCAAAGAGAAGCGGAAAGGGAGAATGAAGAAGAGAAGCAATAGGAACAGGAGTACTTGTAGCTGTTGCTGATTGAAGATGGAGAATAAAAACACAGGCCCTAGTGCTACTTATAGCCGTCTTGACGGTGATGGTAACGCGCTCTGTTATTGTAAACCAACCAACATGTACTACACATGCGAACCACGTGATGGTATCGCTTTGAGATCCAAGACGCGCATTTTGTTGTACATGAACCAACGAGTCAGCTCTTCTGGCAAGGATTTAGGCGCCCTCAAGGGAGGGGAACCCGGGGAGGATGCAGTCATGTTCCAAATCACAATAATGGAAAAGGAGCATCTAGAAAATGTCGTGGCATTCTGCAAGAACATATCGGCTATTGGCATCACAGGGGCATGCAAAATGTAGTTGGTCATGGTGCGGCTTTCTATGTAGCTAGCTTACCTGCCACCGTGATAATGTTGGTTGAATGTTTATAAGGCTGCTATGGCACGGCTCGGGTTTCGGTACCTCAATGTCAGCCTTGGCCTACTTGAACCAGGCCCGTGCCGCCCTTTGTTTATTATTAGGCAACAGGAGGAACTGAACCTTGCCATGGGACCACCTGTCACTCCTGCGCCCCTTCTGCTGAGCCAGGAGTTATATCATCAAATGTGTCCTAACATGAATGCAGACAGCGGGTCCTTGCTAGAGTCTCTTTAATTCTCACTTTTTCTTGAAGCCATCTCTGTCTCAACATTCCTCTTAACCCGACCTCTTTGCGCATCTCAAGATTCGCCTCTATACTGAGATCCTCCATCTTGACCCATTTTGCCACGGTCCTGGTTGCTGCAAGCCCTACTCTATTTGTAAACAGGTTCCCTATCAACTAGCACCACTACCATGTCATTGGACAATGAGAACCGCGTACCCGGCCACAACACGGCCGTTTACGCCATCGCCCCCAGGCATACGTTGCGAGGCCGCTCCAGACGTCATAGAGACGTATGATCCCCCCAGCAACAACAAAAGTTGCGTCAAGGTCCAGATGAATGCTAACCTATAACCCTAGCGACCGCGCCACCTTTGTCTATGTCGTCGGCCACCTGCCCGAGTCCGAAGAAGATCGTGCTAGGTCTCCCTGACGGTTCTTTGACCAACGCAACCGTGATTCTAGGTTCCTCTGCCGAGCTTGTAGACAGCGCTGTTCTCATCGACATGAGAATACATGGCATCTTCTGGAAGACGGGCATATGACACTTTGACGTTGAAATCCGCGCTGGAGACGAAAAAAATACCTGTCCATCTGTCGCAGAGGTCTCCATCTTCCCCAACGGCAGCAATTAGCACTGGTCGGCTCGCCTCCTAGCCTGCGGCAATACATACCGGGGTGCCGCCTACCCGGCGAGGGAAACAGCTCCTCCCAGATTACAATAATATTTTTTAATTCGCCTTGATATTGTACAAAATACCTCATGAGCTTAGAACCAATCGCCCTGCCGAGTTGTGGTCGCTCATTTGAGACAACTACTTGATACGATTCCACGCCGATGTGGGAAATCAAGAGTCTCTCGTCTGGTCTAAGCCGTCTCTAACCATCGTGCTGTGCGACATGTCGCGAAGCCTATCGCTTATGCTTCAAGAGCAGGGTCAATTCTATCAACAAATGCGTATTTTCCAGTAGATAAACTGCTCCCAAGGCATCAGACCACAACTATGGATGCAATCAAGTTTCACAACGAGCCCACAGTTCCGAGTTGCAAATGACCTGGATTCTCGGCGTCGAGGAATTAAAAAGTTGACGGACCCACAACTCCGTCTCCAACACGGGGAGGTGGGGGCTTTGCGGCCGATTGGTGGATCGCTCATGATATCTTATCTTATCTTATCACTTCTCGACGCAGGCAAAATTTCAGAAACTTTGAAATCCCACGTATTGTTGCAACCTCGACGTGCGCAGATACTTCTCGGTAGCTGTGACGCAAACACCCCCACAATGGTGAAGCGAAAAGTTGCAGCACTGGAGAAGCTCGATGCAGACTTGTACGTTGCCCACTCAAATCACTCGATACGTCAGACGCATGCTAATTGTTACTTGTTTTTTGTTCCAGCGCGAGTTTGCAGTACAAGATTCGTCGGGATCCCAAGTACGTCGTCCTCTTTCGCCCTGTTTATGAATTGCCTCCCCCAAAAGAAAAAAAAAATACCATGAGCTAACTTACGTTTTTTTCTGGTTCAAGATCTTACAAAGATGACTTTCTCAGGCAGTGGGAGCAATACGAGTCCCAGCGCGAGATCTTCCTAACGAACCCGACCGGCGGGACGGCCGACTCGATCGAAACCTTTCACAACATGATTGACTTGATTGCCCACGTCGCCGACTGCTACCCCGAAGAGACGAAGACGTATCCAGATGACTTAAAGTTGATCTTGAACGAACACCATGTTGTGCTGCATCCCGACCTGAGGGACAAGGTCGTGGGGAGTCTTGTGCTTTTACGACGCAAGGACGTCATCGACTCCGCGAACCTCCTGACGACCTTGTTCCCCATCCTTGTGTCGTCGCCGAGCAAGACGCTGCGCGAACTTCTGTTTCAGAAAATCCTGAGCGACATGAGGAATTCAAATTCCAAGTCGATCAATCACCCGCTGAATCGGACCGTTCAGACTGTTCTGTACAACTTGGTTACTGCAGATCGATCCTCGCCGAGGGCCATTTGGGCCATCAAGCTGACGCGCGAACTGTGGAAGCGACAAATCTGGACGGACGCCAAGCCCGTGGACGTCATGAAGGAGGCGTGCTTGTCGGACAACGAGAAGGTGGTGATTGGCGCCACGCGCTTCTTCCTTGGCGGAGACAAGGAAAGAGAGGAGTTGGAAGACGACAGCAGCGACGACGAAGTTGACTTGTCCAAGATCAGGCACCAAATCGGCATCAACAAGAAGACCAAGAAGCAGAAGAAGACGTATGACAAGGCGGTGAACAAGGTCCGGCGAGACCAGCAGAAGAAGGCCAAGCCTCACCCGTTGAACTTTTCGGCTCTTCACTTGCTACATGACCCCCAGGGGTTTGTGGAGCAGCTCTTCTCAAAACATCTTCAAAACACAAAGTCCAAATTATCACTCGACTCGAAGCTTCTGGTGCTGCAACTGGTTACGCGACTGGTTGGCCTACACAAGCTCACAGTCGTCGCGTTATACTCCTGGTTCATCAAGTACCTCACCCCTCGACAACACTCCGTCACCTCTATCCTAGCATCACTGGCGCAAGGAACCCACAGCTTGGTCCCCCCCGATGTTCTCGAACCGCTCATCCAAAAGATTGCCAACGAATTCGTCTCGGAAGCAGCAGCAGCAGAAGTCGCCGCCGCCGGCTTGAACTCGATTCGCGAGATTTGCGCCCGGCAGCCGCTGGCCATGACAGACACTCTTCTGCAGGACCTGGTTCAATACCGCAAGAGCAAAGACAAGGGCGTCATGATGGCCGCCAAGGGTCTGCTGTCCCTCTACAGAGAAGTCGGCGCGGAGCTGCTCCAAAGGAAGGACCGGGGCAAGAATGCCACAATCGGCCTCAAGAACGGGCTGCAGCACCAGCAAAAGTTTGGCGAAGAAGCGGTTGGCAGCATAGAGGGGCTCGACCTCCTGGCCAAGTGGAAGGACGAGGAGAAGAAGAGGAGGCGGCTGGAAAAGGGCCTCCCAGAAACCGCCGGCAGCGCCGAGGAAAAGGACAATGAGGAAGACGACTTCGACTCGGACGAGTGGGAAGTCGGCTCCGACGACAGCAGCGACTCGGGCGGCGAATGGATCAACGTCGAGCACTCGGACGACGAGGCGCCGGCCGCCAAGAAGCAAAAGAAGGCAGACGGCGCCTCGGACACGGACCACGAACCGTCCTCCACCGCCGCCCAGCTCGAGCGCATGCAGCTCCTCGCCACCACCACCATCCTCACGCCCGCCGACCTCGCCAAGCTGCAGGAACTCCGCGCCGCGGCCGCCATCGAGTCGGCCGCGTCCGGCCACCGCAGGCGCAACAACCCCGACTCCAGCAGACACACCGACGACGGCCTCACCGCAGAGAACATCGAAGCGCCCGCCAAGCTGCGCAAGCTGACAAAGGAAGAAAAGGTGGCGCTCGCAAAGGAGGGCAAGCCCGACCGCGAGGAGCACAAGTCCACGCAGGCCATCAAGAAGAGCAAGAAGGAGGCCGCGGGCAAGAGCACGAGCAACAGGGAAAAGGCGAGGAAGAAGAACTTCCTCATGACGCTGGGCAAAGCAAAGAGCAAGCAGAAGAGGAGCCTGGTAGAGACGAGGAAAGTGCTGAGGGGCCATGTCGAAAGGAGTACCAGGGGCGGGAGGAGGAGGAACTTTGCCTAGGTTGGCAGCCACTCTTTGCAGACAGTCACGTAGCGACGGACGAATGTGCCATTTTCAGCCTATTAGCTTGTTGCAATGTCTATTGATGTGAATCTATTTGCGCACACAGCCTGCGTACGAAAATCTATCCCTGGCGTACATGGTCCTCCCTCCCGCCCTGCGAACACCAAATTTCCCTGCAAAGCATCATTTGCCTCTTGCCGTAGCTTGCTGTGCTATGGACGCAGACTTGGCAGTGGTTCGTGCCCAGTCTCATCCGTCTCACGCTGTCCCGCCGTTGCGAGAACCGCCCTGGCTCATACTCACTAGTATGAGGGCGGCTTCGACATCCTGGCGTTCAAAGTCTCTTCGAGCCAGATACACGGCAGCGTTGGTGACAATAATCCGAGAGGCAGCCTTGTTGTGCAAGACTGCTGCCGAGTGTGCGAACCATGCGCACTGAACAATTGCAGCACCCGGTCCGGTGGTTGTATTGTGGTTCGCGCCAGCTAGAGGGGCGCTTTGTTCGTTTTGCGTTTTGCCGGTGTAGGGGTCGATTTCCGGTCCGGCGGAGACCATGTCGTGGATTCTCATTGTGTGAAAACGGCCGTGAATTTTGTAATGGGCTTGGCTTGGATGGGTTGATCGCTGGACAATGGGGGTCGAGTTGTGATGGGAGTGAGAGGGGTCCATCGTAAAACGCTTGCCGACAGTGGTGGGTGGTGATGTGGTATCATGAGTTTTACGGCCTCTTTTCCACGGGATCGATGTGCTTATATACGAGAGGGACATCGTTTCCGAGAGCTTCACAGGCTCCTTTGTCCATCAGATCACCACTGTCTGTTCGCTTCAAGTTCGTCCCTCTGTACGGTGAACGCAAGACCATGAGAACATCAAACAACCGAAAAATGGCACAGCATCTAAACACAACATTGCATAATCATTTAATGAACGCCCGTCTATCCTATGGCTCCTTTGGTGCCGAAGCCAGTGCAGCGTCCGTCTCCACAGTAGTTTCGTTCGTAGCATGCCCGACGTGTTCATGATCTTCCCTTGGTTTCTCATCGTTTGATGTTGATTTGCTATTCTCCTCGTCTTCTGCCTGATGTACGATGCCGATCTCAGCCTCGCCAAGAGAGTCCACGACATTTCTGTATGCGGGGACAAAGTTGACACAAGCGGCGTATGTCCAAGCCATTACCATGAATATCAGCGGCACAAACATGGCGTAGCCGTCACCAAACGTATCTCCTGCAGCACCTGTTGCGGGCGGGACAACGGCACCTCCAACGACACCGCCGACAATATAGCCACTGCCGCGCTTGGTGTGTCGACCCAGGCCTCGCATGCCGAGCGCGACAATGGTAGGGAAGCAAATGGACTCGAAGAACAAGACAACGTAGAGCATCGATATGCCCGTATTCCCGCGCTGGGTTATTGACGGGCAGAGAAAGATGACGCAGCACGATATGAAGGCAAGGAAAACCCATCGCGGACGGACGTATTTCATAATGCCGACACCGGTGAATCGCCCGATGGCGAAGGCTGCCTGCGCGCCAGCAAAGAACTTGGACCCGAGGGAGTCCGACGTGCCTGGACGGGTGGCTGTAGCATAATTGATGAAGAAGCTAGCAACGGCCACTTGAGCACCGGTGTAACAGAACTGGGCAAGTGCGGCATGGAATAGTTTATACTGCTTAATGAATGATTTATCCGTGGCACCGGCATGTGTTTCCTTTGCTTGGAACTCCATGTCTGTGCTTTGTTAACCGCGCCGTCTTTGTTAACAAAAACAAAGGGAGGGGGAGGCATACCGGCGTCAGTGATTTCCGGAATATCAGATATAAAGAATAATGTGGCGAGCAAAAGGACAAAGATGGCAATGGCAAGATAGACCCACTGGACATTGTCAAGCGCACGCTCATCACTGAAGTTGAAGAAGACGTATGAACCTAGAACCGGCGCAATGACAGTGCCCACGCCGTTAAAGGCCTGAGAAATATTGATTCGAATCTCGGAGTACCTTGGAGGACCGCAGACTGAGCACTGCGTTAGCCAATACCCAATGGCAGTGAAAGCGGTAGGGCCTTGGCCTAGAATATCCCACCTGTGATGTATGGGTTTGCTGCCGTCTCGAGCGACCCAAGGCCATTGCCAATAATGAAGATGCAAGCACAGAACCCCCCAAAGCTACGGTTCTTGAGTGCCGGAATGGCCAATAGAGCACCAAGCGCATACAGACACAAGCCCCATATGAATACGGCCCGGTAGCTGTAATGTCGAAGAATCCATGCTGCATGGCCAATGGAAGCCAGAGGATACGCGCTGCACAACATGTCAGCTTGTGTACGAATGAGAGTCCCGCTAGCCGTATTCATACCCAAAGTAAGCGGCCTGCAGACCTGCCGAACGTGATCGATTTATACCAAGTACAACCTGGAAATGCTTGTTGAGGGTATCTAGGAGACCATAACTAAATCCCCAGAGAAAGAAGAGGATGGTAACCAGGCAAATGGGATAGATGGACTGGCGCAGTGTCAATTCGGCAGCTCGCGTACGGCGAGTATCGTCGGCCTTGAGCGAGCGCCGCTTGACGAACTCGTTGAAGGACATGGGCGGCGAAACTGTCGATTGACTGACCCCCTTTGGCAGGCTTGGTAGGGCAACGACTTCACGATGGTAACAGGAGTCAACAGCGTGTGTGCGCCGGAAGAATTTGACGACGAAGGAGGAGGTCGCGAGAACAGCTGGGGAGGTCGATCATTTAACTTGATTCCCGCCCCTCCCTCACACCTCTTGGAGAAACCAGCCCTCGACGAGTCAAGGTGCTGCGACGTTGCGAGTCGTCTTTCGCAGGTGTCGTACAGTATCAGGTGGGCACGACCGGGTGAAGGGGTGAGCGAGTGTGACGGTGGTCGATCACACAGCGATACCCACCCACCTTGACAAACCAAAGGCCTGGTTGCGAGCCTTATAAGTGTCAACTGGTCTGCAGTGTTAGTACCTACTCCATGGTTACGCGGTGGGTAAAGTGAATTGTGTTTCATGCGTGGCTACAAAGTCCCGGCGGTAAGACCGGCGCAATGTACAAGGTCCACCACGTTGCGAGGAGTCGAGTCGAGGATGGAGCCGGCAGTTGAGGGAATTTCAGCCTATTGCGTTCAATCTTCGTCCCCCGTAAAGAACAACGGCCTGCCCTGCAATTGCCGTGATTCTAATCAGACTCGTAGGCACCGGCTAGATGGGAGAAGAGCATTCGACATGCTGCGGCAAGTCGAAGGTGACATGGCGGCGCATTGACGGCCAAGGCTGCTTTGGAGCCAGCACTGCCTTCTCCTCCCTCCCTCCACTTGGTCGGCGTGATGCGACAACAGCCACCCAGCGGAGTGGGTTAGGTTGTCCTTCCCTGCCTGTACAACCATAATAAACTAGCACTTGAGCCGATGCGCAGATTTCGGGATTGGGCCTGCGGCATGTCGCCTGCAGCTGACTGGGCCGTTCCCCAGAATCGACAAGGTGCGGGGAGGTGGCATTTTGCCGTCTTCATGACGATCATTTCGTCTTCCACGCAAAGATGGCCCGAAATGCGAACCCCCCCTGCAACTTGGGGACCCGACGGCAAACAGGCTGACGGGCTGAACCCAGCTTGCCATGTATTACGGAGCATGCAAGTTTCCATTCCGCATGTCTCAAAAGGCGATCTTTGACAGATTGCGGGGAAGGCGGAAGCCATTTTTTTGTTTTTGAGTTCGTGGCTACCCTGCCATGCGGAGACGGAGGTGGTCCGCAACGCCTCTGAATGTCATGGTTGTAACGCGCACACTAGAAGTTTTGGAAGGTTCTGCTGAAAAAAGGCCGAAAGCTTAACAACAGGCAAAGAATAAAAATATGCGTCCGAGGCGCAGACATGAAGCAATTCACGGAAACACCAGAATCTTTGCACAGACTCGGCGGGCGCCAGTGCCAGTGCCAGCCAATTACCAGCCAATTACCAGCCAGTTGCCAGCCAGTTACCAGGCACCTGCACCTGCACACACCTGCACGCGCACACTGGTTCTGGTTTCGGGCCGTCATGTCATCGTGGTTGGTTCTACTAGTGCGCGACCTTGTTGCCCATGACCGTCATCATCACCACCACCAACACGTCAGCGGCAACCATCATCGCTTCGCCGAAGCTCTGGCTGCCCAACCCCTCTCAGCTGTACCTGCTCCGAGGCCCTGTTCCACAACCCTGTTCTGCCAGTTGACCTGTCCTACAATGACGGCCCACGCTTGCCACCATTCTTAGGCTTCAACCCCTTTCGCCGACGGTTGATTGCAGCTCAATCCACCTCCCGATACCTCAGTAATGGACCGTTGGAACAGACATGCGGCATGCCAAGTCTAGGTACTGAAGTTTTCTTGGAATGATGAGACTATTGCCACGATGACCAGCAGGATGCTAGCAAGCGTACGTCCCAGGTCACACATGCTCGGATATTACATAATAACGCTTCATACTGCGTGGAACCGCGAGTCCCAAGGCGCGTGTCCACAAAGTAAATGTAAAAGGCCGATGGCAGGCGTCACCACACACTGAGGGCGAAATCAGCAAATCCAGACCCCAACTGTGGTGACCTAATCACTTTCGAGAGCCATATAGAAGTGGTGCCCGGATAATCAAAAGACAAAATCTCTCACTCACTGTCTCGAACTTATTGCAAACCCTGCTCAGTACAGTGACATACTATGGGGTTCAATCATCACTCATCACTGTATTGAGCAGGGGCTGCACAAGACATAAGAGCAGTGCGTGAGGAGTTGTGCATGTCTGGCGACATTGAAAAATTGCTATGCTTGAGAGGGCTGTGGATCATTGAATGGGATTAAATTCAGGCTTAAAATTCGGGATTGAGAGATGAGCTCGGTCATCTAAATATTTATATCGAATTCCTTGTACAACAACTGGAGGAGTAAACATCTGTATCACGACGGGTAATGGGTTGCATCGGCGAGCCACGGAGCAAGAAAATCCAACAATAGCGGCCCTTGACCGCATACTTCCAATATCCAGCCTATTCATGTGTCCCTTTTATGTCTTGACAGGTGTGTTGGCGTGTACTAGACGACAGGTAAGCATACTGCCAAGGACCGTGAGCAAAGTTGTCCCAGATTCCACGAAATCTTCCCATCAAGGACATGCTGAAGAAACCCTTCGCTCGTGCCTATACATGCGGAAACCTTGAACGGATACAAATTGTTAGCTTTCAAAGCCAACCGATGTGTGATTTCTTAACCCTGACCCCCCGCAGCTACCATTGCCAATAACTTGGAAATCGGGCAAGGCTAGGTTGAACAGACTTGAGAACTGTTCCGGTCCAAGGTGCCAAAGGGCAAAAATGCCCAAAGCCTGATGTGAATCTGCCAAACTCTTTTATCCAGCTTCGGTTCGTTCGTCCACATAGTCGACGAGGAAGTTTCCAACCCTTTTGGGGCCGTTCATGCGCGCCAGCGTACATAGTCATTCATATGTTAGGTGGCAAACCCTATCGAACTCGGAAGCGCTATAATATTGCGAGTGCCCCCTTCCGGCCGGTTGCCAGTTGGTGACGCTTTCCGCAATTTTGTTCGACATGAAGTTGAGGTTTGCATTTTACAAAATAACACGAGAAATCTTTAGCTCAGCGAGTGGAAGATGGAACAGAGACTACGGAGTAGGTACTCAGGAGACCGGTCGGACAAGGAGTAAAAAGTCTCAAACCAAATGTTGCCAAGAGCGGGAACTGCCCTTGTGACTTGGCGCCAAACTCAGCCCACGTTCAAGAAATCAGAGTTACAATACAGCCAGACGTCGCGGCACGTGGATGTGTCCAAGACTGTCACACGGATTACCTCTAACGAGCCCTTGTCACAAAGACTTCGTGACATATTCCCCACGCCATCCTTCGGTGCATCTCGTGGAGGTAAACATGCGCCATCAGATGCGTCCGCCATCCGGCTCAACTCGTATTAGATGGTTGCCAGACTTTTCGACCCATTGATAAAAAAATTGATTTTTCTTTTCTTTTCAAGCTCCTTTGATATAAGCTTGTGACAACGGATCACATGCAAGCGAAAGAGAGCCCGTTCGCCTGCAAGACCGTCTCCAGGTTACATGTCGAGGAGCAGCATCTAGGCATACTGAACTGGACTTTTCCAGAAACAATTCGCATTCGTCACTAAACCGCGTCTTGAGATTTCACCTGTCATGGGCCGCCCCAACTCGAATCGATGGTAAGAACTACATAATAGCTGAGTGCTCGCGTGCTTGGCATGTTCGCGCTAGCCAGTTTTGCGACCGACAGTTGATGCCGGCATCTGAGGCTATGCAAGGAGTATGTATGTATTCATCTCGGTTATGTCCTGGTGGGCTCAGCCGGGGTGTAACATGGGCCCAAATGTATCCATCAAGATGCGACGCATGTGATGCGTTTCTTGCTTCAGCGGAGAACCGGCTGTCGCTAAATACTGCGTTGACTTCTAGGACCTTTTCGAGCTCATGCGGTGCAACCAGTCCGGCTACCAAACCACGGAGCTAGTGAGAGCTGCCAACGATTCATGAATTCAGTCCCGAGTGTGTCTCGGTCTTTGTGCCAAGCATGATCATGGCCTTTTCACGTTGCGTGTGCCAAGTCAATTAGCCAAAGGTCGGCAAAGGCCAAGATGGTTGCCAAGGCGAGGCTTTCCAGAAACTATTTGTTGCTCGCAACATGAGTCGAGTTGAACGAGTTCAATGTTGTTTCGACAAGTGTAGTCTGCAATGCAAATGATTGGTCTAGACACGAGGCGCATTACCAGATCTGGCACGGCTTGGGGGCTGTCACTATCCGCTTTTCGGCTTGGCGCGCTAACTCTGATTAGACTCTGGATTAGAGTTGTAATTTGCACCTCGTACTAATAACCGGGTTATGGCCGTGTTGAGTTGTCTTCTTGCGTGACTCTGAACAGTGGCGTTTGCGTGTCGCGTGTTGCTTCATCGGGGGGAGAAGGGCATCAAGCATGTACAGTCACTGGACAAAAGTCTCGATAATGACCCATTTTTACACCAAAACTTATACTTTTTAAGTATAAATAAATCAAGATTTTTATATGTAAGTAAATTAATAAAAATTTAAACTTAATAAATAATTAATTTAAATTTACTATTATTATTTTTTAATTAATTTTCCTATTTTTTTAAGCATAGATTTGTAAGCTTAAAAAGCGGAAAAATTAAAGATTTTAATTATAGTGGGTTATAGTGGATGG